GTGGAAGGATGCTCCTCGCCTAGCACCCTCTTTCTCGTGTCCTTGACTTGCACTTCAGCTCTTCGGCCTCCTTCCACCGCCCTTGATTCCTTTACGTCGACGCCAGGTTGGCCATGCTCGTCAGCGTGGAAGGATGCTCCTCGCCTAGCACCCTCAAACTTGTGTCCTTGATTTGCGCAAACAGCTCTCCGGACCTTTTCCATTCTCCATCGGCGTATAGGCTCGCAGCATATTTCCATATAAGGCTTAACTTATTACTATTATCTTCATTAATAAGTCCAACATTCAGCACACAAGTAGCATGTGGCAAAATTCTTCTCCATTTGCTTCGATTCCAGTGGTTATGGTCTGGAAACTTATTATTAAGTTGGATTATAGATATCTTACTCCACTGGCTTAGCGAGTTTTCTTTTCGAAGCCAGTTTAATGTTGCCAAATTTACAAGTTGATGTATGTCTAGTGCTGATTCAGCTGGCCGTCTGATGATCATTGAATAATCGGAGAGCATTTTAACAGCATCTTTCTCGGCTTCGAATGACTGACCCCTAGGTAGCAGAGAGAGTGGAATATCTCTATGGTCTATGCAAGCCATAAAAGACAAATATTCAGCCGCCAACTCGTTCTGCTTACGAATTTGTTCAAATGAGATAAGCCAAGGCGCAACCAAAGGGTGCTTTCCATCATGAGCCTGCCATTTGTCCTTAAGCTCTTGACTGATGAATTCAACTGTCTTTTTATCTTGTAATCGTAATAGCATCCAATAATCCTTTATAGTTAAATTATTGATGCTAATATAAACTGACGCCAATACAATGGCCAGGGGGAAGTATGTAAGCTCTTTCAACAGTAGATTGGCTTCCTGCTGCTCATTGGTCAAATCCCGGTTGGATAAGTATTTGTTAAGCATCATCCAGGCTATCCCCGCGTCTATCTCCGGCATCTTCACCACATTCTCCTGTGCCAACGTCTTGGCTGTTTTCTCGTTACGCGTTGTAAAGACAATGCATCCTTTTTTAGAGGCTGGCAGGTCGTCAATCAACCTGTCAGCTCCGGCCGCTCTAGTAGTCCATATACTATCATCACTCACTTTGTCGAAAATAAGAAGCCACCGTCCTACGCTCTCTCTGCTTAGATAAATTTTCACCAGTTTCTTCACGTCCAGCTTCTCATCGTCCCATCCGGGAATTTGTAGTCGCTGAGCAAGCTGCGCATACCCCTGCTGCACGCTCTCGATATCGGTGGCCGGCACCCATAGCACTGAGCAGTCTTTGTAAGCTTGTCTCATTCTATAGGCCATTTCAAGTGCTAACTGGGTTTTCCCAATTCCACCTATTCCTGTGATTGCAATTCTTGTTGTCTGGCCCTCAACAAAAAGAGTCTTTTGGAGTGTGGTGAGTTCGGATTCGCGACCAGTGAACTGGCTGTTTCGGCTAAATGGCACAATAAATGGAGTCGATTCTGTTGATTCAATTTGCAGCCGCAGTCTCCTTAAAGCCTCTGCTTTTCCCTCTCTATATATTAAAGTCATTCTGACTTCAACTATTCCAAGAAGGCAATAAGCACTGTCTTCTTCTTCTGTCGTTTCGCGGTTGCTGGCCCATGCAATTCGCTCATCAACGCTAAATTCTTTCAGTGGACGCCCACGTAAAGCATCAACTGGAATCTTAGTAACTTCATGAATGACTTGCTCTAGATCAGCTTTGTTTCCTAGTAATTGGTGATTTAGAGAAAAGAACTCTACTGATGCCGGAGCAATTAGCTCTTGGAGAGTCCATCCTCGTCTAAACCACCTGCTCTTCCGGAATGAGGTTTTCCACGTATTTGGCTCCACGTTAGGATCTGTAGCAGAGGGATCTGTAACATCCGACAGGAGTGCGTAGCATTTAACTGCCCTCTGGCAGTAGCGAAACATGGAATTAATCTCCTTTGACCGCTCGCTGAGATTCCATTGATTAATGCAGCACGTGTCAACCCAGAAGTAATCTAAATTGTCGTGGGCTGCTTGCTGACCACAAAACATGATCTTCTTAAAGCCAGCCTTATCTCTGCTAGTATTCTTCATAAGGTCTTTATAAGTGAATTCAACATCGTGGCCATTGGGATCCCATGTATGCGACAGAATGGCATAATCCGGTATTTCGCTACTGAATACTTTGGATTTCAGGGTTCCGGACGTGTCAAAGTAAAGTAGTCTCATGGCTTCGGCACAGTACTGTAACGGCTTCAGAACAAAAGGTGAGCAAAGTAGAGCAGTGCGAACTTTCAAGTAAGGATCTGGAGCGGACCAGCTCTGGGCTACATAAGTGCGCGCAGGGAAGAGCTGTATGGGGAGCGGTATTGGGGCGGTGTGGGGGCGGTGTGGGGGCGGTGTGGGGGCGGTGTTGAGGCAGTGCCGATCAGGCTGAACTGGACCGGACGGCCTCGCTTCGCCACACTCTTCGTGAAGAAGCGGATAATAAGGCCACCGAGGCATCTTTCAAAACTCTCAGAAGGCACAAGCATGGAGCCAGAAATTCTTTCCTCAACTCCGTCCACGTCGTTCCGCCACGGCGGGATACTTTGACGCGGAGATCTGTCCTCCCATCCCTGCAACAATGCGTCACTCTTTACTGTGGTAAATTTAGTCACCCTGGTCTGCCAAGTGTCAATGTCTGTGCGGAAGATCACGGGAGCGATGAATGGTGCATAAGTGAGATCGTAAACCTGCTTAGTTCATTGTATGCTGTCTTGACTGATGGATTGTATGGTTGTTCTCCTGTCCCCTACCCCTGGCTCTCCTCTCTTATCTAGCCAGCGTTTGCTTATGTCACGTGATACTTGGTATGTGCTTAGACTGACACCAAGCAGCCATTTGGCTAGATATAAGATATGGTCGTGTTGCATTTGGGTGCCTAGATAAGCTAAGCCATGCAAAGGAATCGCTGTTGTGCAGCGTACAAAGAAGGCGATTATCGTGCAAAAGGTTGCATTGATTGTATGATGGATTGAAACCGAACAATAACAATCCAATCCATCATATAATCAATGCAACCTTTTTGCACGATGATCGCTTCCTTTTTCCTTCTTGTACGCCGCACAACAGCAATTCCTTTGGATGGCCTAGCTTAGCTAGGTACCTACATGCAACACCTACATGCAACACAGCCTTATTCTACCTACGGTCTTCCCGGCCATCTCCCATCCTGACTAGGCGACACAAGAATCTGATCAGGATTGATTGCTTATAACGCTCCTGGCTTCTTATCACAATAGAGTATAAATACTACTTAGGTTAATAATAATAAAAATTAAATTACCTAAATATACTATTTTGGCTAAATCTAGTATTAAAACATCACCGTTTCATCCATCAATCCATTCCTGTACCAGAAGCTCTATTACCGTCACCGATCCAGCCTGATCAGAAATGGGGCTTGCAAAATGTCTTATTATGATATGCTTCCCCTATGGCACATGAGAGGCACCATCGTATTACCTTAATAGAAGCATGGTTCGCTCATTTAACCCCAAGATTAATAAAGGAAGTGGTAAAGAGGTTGTTAGTTGTTTGTTCTTAGCAGATTTGTCTTCTCTTCTTCTCCTTTCTGTGCACTGTCTTGTTTTGTAGCTAGTTCTAGCACCCTTAGCAAGTCCACATGATACTAAATTGGACACTTTCTACAACCTTTTACTTTATAATATTATCTTATTATATTTAAGTAGTTCCGTGACATCTGGGTACTGCGCACTCTGTCGCTATTCTCTCTTTTTTTTTCTTCTAAAATAAACGGCCGCTAGTGTGTGTAAAAATTTGACGAAGAGCGTCGCTCAGAATGGTAGTTCATGTCTCTCTCGCTCTGACTTTCTCTTTACAAACTCTTTCACGCGTAAGTCCTTGTGTAATGAACCTGATTGCAGCCATCTGCCATCCGCCCAAACAAGTCATCTGTCCCGATGAAGAACCTAACCGACGGACGCGAAACGTGAGCGTTCAGGTCCTTAGTCAAAGCAGCTCCCGTTATTGACTTTTGACCGGCCATGGCGCGACGCTTTTTGAGATCCACAAATCCACAACCGCAGCAAATCAAGCCCTGCTGAGGGCTCGAGGGGGGCATCGTAATGATTGTATACACTGTCTATAATAAGCAAGTTTATCTTTTCTGCCTCCCCTTCCTTGACAGTAAGCTGGACCGCTAGAATCTATTTCATAGACAGAACATGCCCTTGCCAACGTTTCCCGTTACAGCACGGGAGAGCACGATATGAAGATCGCTGTGGACCTATAATATTTACTTGATATGGCCCTTGAAATCGGCCTTTCGCGCCACCCCGTCTGTCTGTCTGCGCATGCTCCTCATGATGCGAAACACCGGAAGATATGAGCTCGTTAGGTCCGCCGGCCGCGTTGACGGAGCGCACCCAAATTTCGGCGTGGGCTGAGCCAGCATCCGATGGTGCGTTCCCCAACATCGTTTGTAGGAGTGAAACGTCCTCGACTGCCTGCCGCAGCCATTATTACATGAGATGAGCTTGTTCCCAATCGTTCTGGGTCGAGGTTTGCGAGGGGAAAGACAAAAAAAAAGAGGGAGGAAGGGGGGGAGGGGGGGGGTGGTTGGGTTCTCAAACTTTACCCTCGCGCTGTGCATACTCGCAAAGTGCAGATCTTTGTATTTCGTTGAACGAAACGAATCTGTTTGTAGCACCTACAGGCCTGTAACACAGCATCGAGCAGTTCTCAAAAGGAAAAAAAAAGAGAACAAGCGATTAGACAAGATTGATACTTTGACGCTACTATAGAACGGGATTTCACCTGATAAGTGAGTCAGTTTGATCGAGAGCCCGTCGACCTGACGCGCGGCACCTTGCAAAAAGGTGAAGGACGGCGATGCCACAGCCCAAGTCACTGTGTGGTCAAGGTCGGGTAACCACAGTCAGGTGTCCCGTCTCCGAGCCCGTGTTTCCCGCCACCTGCGTTTGCCATTTGGCTTTGGGGATCACGACCTGCTCGTGCGAGACGAATCGTTGACGGCCTGGGCCGCCGTCGAACAGACAACGGCAGCGGCGACGGGGACGTCCGCAAAAGCGGCACGGCGGTTCTGGGGTGCCTGCTGCTGGGAGCGGTTCGGCCCTGATGGATCGCCCTCCTCCTTCTTGCCGTTGCGGACGTCGACTGCGACGTCCTTGGGCAGGGGAGGAAGGTCCTTGTCTATCTTACCTCGCTCGTCTGACTCGAGCAGTCCCTCGCGAGCAGCAACCCTCGCGAGCAGCAACAGACGCCATAGAGCAAGGCAGAGGGGCTCCCCTGACGCACGCGCTCGCCGTGCCGACATGTGCCAGCATTAAAGAAAACGGTATCCTAGGCGATGCGACTGGCCGAGCAAGGAAAAGAGCAGTGACGTGCCCGTGAGTGCGCGCTTTGTTCTTGTCTCCATGTCTCTTCTCGTGGTTGGAAATGTGCTCAGTCGTGTCGAGCATGAAGGCCTCTTGGCGAGTTCATTCTTAAATGTGAGGGTTCGGAGTCTCGCGATAGACAACGACTCGGCTCCAATTTGGAACACCTTGCGACAGGAAAACGAAATGTAGGCATTCTATTTAATTGCGAGAGACTGCTCCCGTGAGGGAAAGAAAGAGAACTGATGCTATAAGAGATTTGAGGTGAATTTACTTTATTTCGCCATGTACTTAGGTGAGCTGCTTACGATTGGGTGGATATATTCGAATTTACTGGATGTGAGAGGGTGAGAGGAAAGATAATGGCCGAGAAAAAAAAATAAGAATTGAAAGTAGAAAGAAGAATAGTATTCCACTCTGCGTAAATAAATGCCGACTTCCACAGGCCTTCGAACTATTCGAGTCATAGATAGCTTCCTACACGACTCTCCGAGTTACAAAGCTTACGTATGTACAAACCTGCGACTTGCGCCCGAAGCTTTTCCCCAAAGATCAAAACTTATACATGTGCAGAAAATATGTTAATCAACGGTAGATGGAGCGGCCGAGTGGGGGTATGGCCTTATGCAGTCCGCAATCCTTTACGCCTGAACCAAGCGTGCTGCGGAGGCACGCGACAGCTTACAGCCTACATCACCGTCCGTATGTTCTGTTTTCCAAGCACTACGTATGGGCATCACATATTCCCGAACAAACGCGCTGGAGAATGGGTTTCTCACGGTAATTGGGGGATCGGGAACGGCAGTCCTCCAAACTGCGGTACGGGCGGAGGTGGTCCAATATTTACGGGCTCGGGCAGGTGTGTTTCCATTGGCGGGGCGGGCGGTGGCTGGCGATCCTGCTTGAATCCTCCTTGCTTTTGGTCATCATGATGTCCCCCGCGGTTGCCACGGTCGCGTTTGCTACCTCCTCCATGATTGTCATTGCCGCTGCGGCTGCTATACCCGGATTTGCCGCCACGCCGTGAAATAGCTGTTTACAGGTTCGTTAGCATCTTCCAAAGCTTGTAATGGTCTTGAACATATGTATTTGTACCTTTCGAGGAAGGGCCAGCGCCGATCTCGATGTCGGGCTCTTCAACAACCATGCCAGTCTTGATATCTAGCCCTCCTGTACCGCCGTACTCGGCTGATTTCATCCATTTCCGATCCGCATCAGTGAGTACGTCAATGGGCAGAACGCTTTCGCCTTTTTGATAATCCGCGTATTTCGTAGGCCCAAAACCTACGGCCCAATTTATCTGCAAAGAGGTCAATTCACGAGATTTCACCACTATAAGGAGGTCCGCCTTACGCGCTCAAAAAGATGTCTGTATTCAGATTCGGGCCGTTGCTCCACAGCCGCTTTAGCGTTAATGGCATCTTGATGAGTGATGCACTTTAAGAAAGCATGCCGCTTGTCGTGATTAACGATGCAAGACTGCACGCGAACGAAACGAGCAATATAGTCCATGAGCTGTTCCTCACTTGCTGAGGCACTATGAGAAAAAAAATCAGCAACTGACCGTCAGACAACTTGCGGTGACGCATACCTGACACCTCCTACGAATAGCGTACGACTCAGAACTAAAAAAACATTGTGAGCCTGTGTCTGCACCAAAATTTACGTAAATGGCTCTTCTACCTCTGATCTTGCCATTTGGCAGAGTGTTGTCATATCCGTACGGTTTCGACACGTTGAGCTGCGTACCAAGGCCCATCAAACTCGGACTAGCGAGTCTCTCGCGCGGTGGCGATCGCTTACGATAGTTATCACGTCCGTGTTTGCCTCTACCACGATCACGGCGGTCGGACTCATTGCCATCACCACCACCTCCACGCGGTGTACTACTCTTCGCGGCGTTGGGGTCATATACACCATATGTCGGACTCTCGCGCCGGTTCGGCGGCGTCACACGTCTACGCTTGTAATCAGGGGAGCGACTACGGTCGCGCTGATATGCCTGAGGGTCTTGGCCAGGCGGTCCGTACTGGTTCTGGGGTGCTGGAGCCACCGACGCTGGCGCTGTCGGTTGGGGAGGTGCCTGCCCTGGATAGGCAGGAGCAGCGGTGGGAATCTGTACGCCCATGGCAGACAGGAGGGTCATGAGCTGCTCCGCGGTAATGCTAGGATTGGCGGAGACTACGGCCTGCACGGCCTGTAATTGTGTCGGATTTAGCGCAGGCAAAGGTGGGGCCTGCGAGTTCTGGGCTACTGCTGCCTGATTGACATTTGCTACTGTTGGTGGGATTACTACTGGTGCCGCTGCCTGCGGTTGCACGAACGGCATGGCGGGAGGAGGCTGCGGCTGTGTGTTTCCAGTCTGGGTGTTTACTGGCGGGCTTTGTAAGGTAGCTAGTTGTTGGGAAAACCCTCCAAGATTCGGCGCCTGAAATTGAGCCTGCGATAGTGTACTAGGTGTGCCTACGGCGCTTGGCATACTCACGCTGGTTGGCGGGGCTACTGCGGCATGCTGAGGATATGCTTGTCCGTTCATGGGGTTCGCAGTCGCTGGGGGTTGCGTTCCGGGAACAGCTGCATAGTCAGTGCCTGAGCGGAAGAGAAGGGAAAATGCTGAGCAGTCGTCATTAGTGTTACCTTGGGTCGATGTGCTCAGTCGCTGCTTGTAGCTGTTGAGCATGTCTGCAGCAAAAGTTTTGCTGCCAAGCCAAATGTCTATCAGCTTGATGATTCGGACCTTGTCGAGGATCAGTTTCTTGTTCAGACCGCGGTGGTTAGACAAACCTTCTGGTCTTCAGGTGCGCTTGCAAGCAGGTCTTCCATTAAAGAGGGTATATGTGCCGTCAAGCGCTCTACACCGACGTTGTTGCCACCCTGTGCAATCCACTGCCTTATCACGGAGTCGGCACAATACATGACACCCAACTTGTGGGTGGGCGCGCTGCTCTTGAAGGCATGGACAATGACGTCGACGATCTGGGCGCGGTCGACGTGAGGGTTTTGGGAGGTGCACAGTTTCGTGATGGCGTCGACCTTGGAGAGCAGGTTAGCGAAAGGCTCTTGAGAGCGAGGTAAGTATGTCGCACTTTGCTTTTCGACACTCCGGGGGCCTTCAAGCTCTGGAGTGAGTGCAGTAAGGACGCAAGTTCCTGCAGTGGCTGGGCCATGTTTCGCAGTGAGTTTGTCTACCAAGACCTACAGGCCGTTTTGAGCAGAGCGCGTACGTAGAAGCGTACGGCGGCTAGACTGGGCAAAGATGAAGCAGGAGGTAGATGACACTGGTTCAATGCAAGAAGAGAAAAGTTGGCGCGATACGTTACGGAAGAGAGAAAGGTCAGTGCAGGCGCGTATAGCCGAGTACTGACGGATGCAGCAAAGGCAGCAGTGAGTGAATGCAAGAGCGATAGAAGCCGGCTGCTGAAGATGAGACTCGGAGGACCAACAGAGGTCGTCAAGCAGATGTCTTCGACAGCCCAGCTGAACTACGACGCGCAGTGCACAGCACTCAGGTCTTAGGAAAAGATCCAGCCAAGCGGCTGTCGGTCCAAGGACGGAGGGACAAGCAGGTATAAGCCAGGCAGACGGATGACGGCGCGTGGCAAGATAGAGGACCAAGGAGGAGCTACAGGAGGCTGAATGGAGGTAAAGAACGAGAGGGTGTGAGAGTTGAGATGGGTGGTGGATTGATGAGGTTTTTGTCGTCGCAGCTTTTCCTCCCATGATTAAAAGCAGCCGACACGTAGAGAAAAACCTTGGCAGGACCAACTGACCCGTCCCAAAGCGACTTAGCGCGGCGGGCACGTGCCTTTGCTCTGGCCCCCTGGGCCAAGCTGCGCTCTAGCTTGTTCCGGTTAGCGCCGCGGCCGTCGCCTGGCGGATCACGTGCATTGGGGCCGCGTACTTCCGCTTCACGAAGGTGACGAAGCGCACGAACTGGGCGTGGAACGGCGCTGCGTAGCCTTTTGCAGCATGTCCGGGCCAACGCTGCATAACGTAGATAAGAGAGGAGAGCCAGGGGTAGGGGACAGGAGAACAACCATACAATCCATCAGTCAAGACAGCATACAATGAACTAAGCAGGTTTACGATCTCACTTATGCACCATTCATCGCTCCCGTGATCTTCCGCACAGACATTGACAATGATGTTACGAAGTAACATGGGAATCACGTGAAAGGAAAATGATCATGTTGATCATTCATGATCAAGGTGATCGGTTTGCATAAGTGAAAGGTTGTGATTCGCCCGGAAGGATTGGACGAATCAGGAATACAGTCTGCGTACAGTCTGCGATCAGTCTGATATTCATGATCAGAATGAGCGCCAGGTTTCATATGTCTATAAATATGTCTTGTCTCGCCTTCGCTACGGCTCTCTGTGATTCAACTGTCTAGTTTATCTAGTAGTTAGTTTGAATATATTCCTATACTCTTGAAGCTCAGACTATTCTAAGTCATAACATAACTATCTTATTATATTCCTTCCATAATAAGCTCTTGTTATATCTTTGTTATGAGGTAACACGTGAACAGTCCCAAGAGAAGCGCTGATTGGTGGGAGCAATCATTCTGCTCAATAATGAGCAGAATGAGCGCATCAACCAATGGTTGATGATCAAGGGAGCGCTGATTGGCGGGAGCGATCATTTTGATCATTGTTGAGCGAAATGATCGCGATGGATAAGGCAACAAGGATATCAAGAATGAGGTCTATATAAACATCCTGTCCCTACTGACATTATGCTTCTTCGTGATTCAACTGTCTAGTTTACCTAGTAGTTAGTTTGAATACATTCCTATACTCTTGAAGCTCAGACTATTCTAAGTCATAAATATAACTATCTTATTGCATTCCTTCCTCAATAAGCTCTAGCTATACATTGTTCCTCTGCTCTAGGAAGCTAAACCCTTCCGAAGTGGCTTACATTAGTGAAGCTAGTCGGTACTGGGAAAGTATTCCTAACAATCTTGTTCCTTTGCTCTAGGAAGCTAAACCTTTCCGAAGTGGCTTACATTAGTGAGGCTAGTCGGTATAGGGAAAGTATTCCTAACAATCTGCAGGTATTACTATCTACTATAAGTTTTAAATATAATTTATATAGAGTATAAAACATTACTTCCTTTAATTCAGCCATAAGGTATTTTATATACCCAATCATAAGTTGGTTGTAACTGAGCTAGACTGGTCCTTGGAGAACACTATGT